GGGGGGATTTCGGCTCACCGATGGAATCGGGGTAAAGAGGGAGAAAAAGAGAGAGAGAGGAATTGCATCATGAGAACGGGAGAGAGACAGAGAGGATTAGAACTTGGTAATGATCTAAAGAGGAGAGAGAAACCATTTCAGCTCTTAAGCCCGCCTCTCATAGAAAAGAACGGGTTGGGCTCATTACTAAATGAAAGGTTGGGCTGGTTTCATGTCCGACCCGGATCGATAAAAAAATAATAATAAAGGGCACGAATAATGGCTAGAGTTTGCCCAGCTTTTACTCGTCCGAGAAAACAAAAAAACAAAAAAATAAAAAATAAAAAATGCTACAATGATAGGAATGAAGGCGTGAGAACTACAATTAGTCAAGGAAGAAAATAGAAAAAGAAAAGAAAGAAAAACAAAAGGAAATCGCGTGAGAGAAATGAAAAAAAGAGAGTTTGTTTCAACTTTTGAAAAAAGGAATAAGGGGAACGTGTGGCTTAGGGCAGTCGAAGGAGATGGTGTGGGCTTAGCCCAAACCATGTAAGGATAGGCTACTTGGTCGAAGCTATTTAAGTCTAATGGGTAAAAAAAAAAAAGGGGAGCAAACCATGTGAGGATGGGCTAGGTTGAAAAGGTTCTAGTCCAACAGGTAAAAAAAAAAAAAAAAGGAACAAACCAAATGTGAGGAGGGGGCTGGATTGGTTACGTCCAGGCCATTATATACATGTGTATATATGTATAGAAGTAAAAAAAAAGAAAAAAAAAATATATATATATATATATATATATAAACATATAAAAAAAAATGTTGGATTTATTTATTTATTTTACATTTCATATTCAATTTCGGTAATTTATTACTTGAATTAAAGAAATTCCTCTTTTAATTTATTGCAATGTACTTTACAATCGTTTTTTTTATTATTTGTTTATTCATGTAATTTCTTAACGAAATCTCCTTTTGATAGGAGTTGTCGTTTCGTGACAAGGTCTTCTATTTGATAGAGACCGTCGGTCATTTAATAACCAAGATGTCCTCCAATGCGTCGGTTGCGTCGAGATTTGAAGTGGATCCGATATTTGAATCGACGTGTCACCCGACAAAGGAAACCGACGATTGTTTCAATACGATACCACGCTCAAAACTAAAAAAATCACATTTGCTAAAACAATGGTTTAAAAATTAGAAAACAAATTGGCATAAATGAATAATGTAGGAGATAATTTAAAACTAAAACAAGATGTGGTACCTTTCTTCGGAAAGGACACTTTTAGGGTGAATAATTGTCTTCCTAAAGTGTAATCAACTCGCTTATCATAGAATCTCTAGACCGAGTGTTATTTTAGGTTCCTAGTTCCTTAATAGTAGGTGCCAACTCTAAAGCTCGTAAATAAACTTATAAATATTTAATCATATTTAGCCTTTTAATTTTAGGAGTTCCGTCCGACGTCGGGTAATGACAAAATTAATGGTTTTCAAAAGAATAAGAATAGAACTAAATTCTTAAACTTGAAGTGTGCAAACAAAATTAAGCAAAAGTAGATTCAACTGAAAGAATACCTAAACAAACTGCTGCTTCTCTGAAAAGTAAACATTGAAGGGGAGAGAACTGTTCATGGTGCAGTGGACTTCTGAAAATGATAAAGAGGAAGGTCTATAAGGAAGTCCATACATCTGAAAAAATTATAAATAAAAGAATCATTAATTAATCTTACCCCATAATAATTAATATACTAACGATTATTTTCAACTACCAGCCAACCATATATAGTTGCTTGCATTGTTTTGATGCTATTTTTTGGTCCTAGTTGAAAGGGAATCCCTTTTTGCATAGTCACATATGATTTTGATTTTTAAAATGAATACAAAAGAGCAGGTGCTCTCAGCAATGAGATCATTTTTTGCGTGGATTGCTCTCATTCTTTGTGTCAAGTCCAGCCCTACCCAGATAATTAAACAATTGCATGGGAGGAGAAAGAATTAAATGAGACAATTACTAGTCAGCCTTTGATAAAAGGGTTTGTATATATATATATATATATATATATATATATATATATATATATATATATATATATTTCCATGAAAGAATTTTCAATTGTCAAGGATCCAGATTGAATCAAAAGAGGTGGATATGATAGAAACAATGAAAAGGGTTTGGTCTTTTGGTAAAACTCGGAGGCTTGCCCTGTTGTGGTGGAGTAAGACTTGGTTTGCTTTATTTTGGCTTTTGAACGCTGAATTCTGTATGGAATGGAAATCATGTATCTCTATTGTATTACATATAATATTTCATTAGTGGTGAACACTAATATTGTTTTTTTTTTTCAAAAAAAGAAGAAGAAGGGATATTGTGTGTATATATAAATTAAACATAGATTTGAATTTCGTATTCTTGAATAAATAATTATTACAAAATTTTGAGAAATTACATTCCATTTATATATAGGAAAGTTGCATTGATATACTGTTTTATAAAATTTTATTCATTAAATAAGTTAAACTATCCACTAATTATTCCATGTGTGTGTGTCATCTTGGTCTTTATATTCATAATCTATTTTCTTGTTACTTTCAATATTGAAATTCCTTAATATGCTCGACAAAGGATATTTAATATCAATTTATATATACAAGCTGGTTTAAGGATATTTTTTATTATTAAATTAAAAAAACACGTATGAATATATATATATACACGCACACCACAATATACCTTATATTATATATAAATTTTAAACCAATATGTACAAAAGATAAAACAAATTAATAAACAGGGGCAGAAATAGAATTCTTGTTATGGAGGTGCAGATATAGATAAAATTAGTGTAAATTTAAAGTAAAATAATAGAAGAATATAATGCATAATTTTTTAGGTGCAAGATAATTATTTTCTATTAAACAATCCTTAATTTGAATGGTTTACTTAAACTTTTTCAAATCTTCGTACCAAAGTATAAACTTTTATAAATCTTGGAGGTGCCAGGCCGAGAGCAATTTCTAGTTCCGACTTCCGTCCAGGTCATCGCTTGTAAATTTTGCACGCTTATCAAGTATGTGAAAGAATGAAAGTAGAAGCAGCTGTTATAATGCCACAATCTATCAATATTATATCATCTGAAACCTTGAGTACCAAAAACAATAATGGTTAAGTTTCGGAGACTGATATAGATGTGATCCATAGTTTAGTACAATATATATATATATAGTCAGTACAATGATCTCATTAGCTGGTTAGAGAATGAGGGTCAAGCGAGCTTGGAGGCAGAGCCTCCAAAAGGATTTATAGAATCTTGAACCGAGTTGTTTAAGCTTGTAAGATTTTTTTTTTTTTTAAATAACTTTAGTTGTCTACAATATAAAAAGAGATAATATTTTTTATATTTTATCCGTCTATTGAAAAACCCTAATAAAAATTTTTAATGCAGCCATGAAATAGACACAATTGTTGAACTACGTAAATCTTTATATAGTTTGATTATTCGTTTTTCGTAACGAGTAACATCTAAGAATCTAACATAAAAAACTATAAAATATATGAAATTTAACATTAAATTTCCATCAAGTATGTCACTACTTGACATTTAGGAGGCTTAAAAAAAATTAAATATTTTATTTTGTTTTTGATTATTTACGAGAGAAAGTGAGTTAAACTATGTTTTGGAGTCATCACTTAACATTAAAGGAACCGAGAAACCTAAAAATGACACCGATTTAGAGATTTTATAATAAGGAATTGATTACGTTTTTAGAAAGATATTGATCACCTAAAAACATCATTTTCTAGAAAAAGTACCAAGTGTGATCTAATTCTAAAAGTTTATCTCCTAAAAATTTTATTTTTACTAAAATATTTCTAAGTCAATTTTCAAGTTTATTACCTAAGTCAAAATTTTTTTTTTTTTTGTAGCATCATATTGAATTAATCGTCAAACCCTATTATCGGGAGTCTTGTCAATTTAATATCGGATCCAGCTTAAGTTTCGACATAATCGGCATGTTGGAGAACGACCAAATTACTAAAGATGATTAATTTGATTTAATTAATAACATTGGTTCCTATCATATAAGAGACTTGTTAAATTAACTTAGCATTTTCTCTATTATTTTATTTTTTTCTTTTTCTTTTTCTTTTTGACATTTTTTTAGAGTTGGATAAAATATATCAAAATCACAATTTGTTCCTAATAAATAGAAGACTCGTTGATCTAACATCATGTTAGAAGGAAATCCATGCATTATGATAAAATTCACAATCTAAATATTTCTGAGTTTTCTAATACAAATAAAATTAAAAATTATAACAAAACAACACAATAAAATAATTTTTAAAAAGTAAAAAAACAAACTGAATGGTCACTAATAAAGTAACCTAAATGCCCCTTATAATGCTACTAGAAATGAACAAACTGTCATTTGCATGAAAAATGACCAAAATAATCATAGGGGTAATCTGGAATCAAAACAGTGCAACACGTGCGTAGAAATTTATTGAATTGCCCTTGAAGCTCCAGCCGCTAATGCTAGCATTTGCGATCGTCGTTTGGTCACCTTCAAGCATGTCGTAGGTCAAGCAAGGATCGCCTGGACCTTCTATCTAGTCTAGTGTAGGCAGTCTGGTTCACGAGGACCAGAAGAGGGATATCGGTTATCGGCCACCGTTGTCATTTTCTTCTTCTTCCTTAATCAAGATTCCAACCACGAAGAGGCACGTAGAGGACACCAATCTGCTTAGAAGACCACAAGAAATGTTTCTACAATGGTTATGAGGTCTAATTTGGTTAGAATGAGAGATTTGGTGGTGTTTGTAAAATGGGTCTTGATTCGGGTTTTGCTTCGATTTGATTGTTTCTGGCAAGTTTTCATCGTGATTTCAAAAATGTCAGCTTCTAGAAGGGTGATGAAGGTCTCTGTGATGGTGGGCGTTATTGGTTTTGCTAGGAATAGAAGGTTTGGTCAAGTTCCTAAATAGGTCGGGTCACCAGCCTTCTCTCCTCTATTCTAGGTGCTTATGCTGCTCTCAAGGTCACAAGTTTGTGGGATCAGGATATCCATAGGCTTTAGAAATAATTATATTCTAGTTTTGTGGCCCTTTTTGTTGACACAGTGGTGAGCAGTACTGTGTTGGAGGTTCCATGCTTTCTAGGGAATAATGCCTCGGGCTTTGATTGGATTGCAGGTTGGATAGAGTGGGGTGGTGAAAGATTTGAGTTTAAAGATGCTCCTTCTTATTCGGAAAAGAACTGGGGTGGAGCCTTCCCAAGAAAATGGTTTTGGGTAAATATTTATTTCTTTCGTGTGGCAACTATCTGCTTATTAATTGATCATATGTTTTTCTCATGTGGAGTTTCATGCCTACTTGTTCCATTGTAAGAATGGGAAAGTTAGTTTCACTGTTTCTCTTTGCACAACCAATAATGAGCTATTTACTCTATTTTCAACATACAAAGATGACCTCAGGTCAATATTCTTCACCCCAAGTTACATTTTGATGCGTGGTGTTGCGAATGTTGTGTTGTCACACATGGTGGTTCAGAGTACAGAAATTGAAGAAAACACATTAACTTATCTATGGTTATTGAGACTGCTTCCTTATGGACCTGATTAGCTGGCTCATTTTCTATGTGCTGTCAATTAGTGGAAGTTTTTGGTGAAGAAATCTCTATGCTGTTTAAGTTTTTGATGATGTTTGGAATTATTGCTGTGACAATGTTTTACTAAAGCATCTTAGATTTGCAATTGTCTGCACATTCCTAACCTGGAAGAAGAAAATAATAACAAAAAAAAGGTTCAAAGAAAAACTCCAAATGCCTGCATCCTAATTGTTGATGTTTTTACACCTTTACTGTAGGTTCAATGTAATGTCTTTGAAGGTGCAAGCGGAGAAGTTGCTTTGACTGCAGCTGGTGGGTTAAGGCAAATACCAGGAGTAAATGTGACTTTTGAAAATGCTGCATTGGTACCTTTCTATTACAATCCCAATACTATTGTTCTCCACTTTCCCTTGTTTCAGCAATTTTTTTAGATTAATTATTTTTTTCTTCTTTTTAGGAATATATGGCTAAATACATATATATAAAGAATGAGATAGCAAACAGCTGATATGCAATGATCATGGCACCCTGCTAGTTTTTTCATATGGAACTTGCATCGTATTCATGAGTTTTTGAATATGCCTTACTATCTTTAGTTTGAGACCTCAAATAGAAGAGACAAAAACGTACACAATTTTATAAGTTGGATGCGCTCGTTTTAAATAAACTGACACGCATGGTACAATGTTCACCTATGCAGATTGGAGTACACTATGATGGAATTTTCTATGAATTTGTGCCATGGAATGGTGTTGTAAATTGGGAAATTTCTCCATGGGGCTACTGGTATATGGCTGCAGACAATGGGACACATTTGGTATCCTCCTTTTCCAGTTTCTAATATTAACAGTCTCACTGTATAAATCTTAATTTTCACTGATGTCCAAGTAAATTTGGTATTGTTCTTCACTTAGACCTGTGAAAAAAGGAAAACAAAAACACAAAGTACATACTGGCCTGCATGATTCTTCATGACCTCTTAAGTCTTTTATGGATACATATAATGATGTTGGAGTTATATCAATTAAAGGTGTAATTTATTTTTCCTTCTCAGGTTGAATTGGAGGCAACAACAAAGGATTTGGGAACAACATTGCGTGCTCCAACAGCAGAAGCTGGGCTTACTCCTGCTTGTAAAGATACCTGTTTTGGAGATCTGAAATTGCAAATTTGGGAACGTAGATTCGATGGCACTAAGGGGAAGGTGCATTTTACTTCTTACTCTCCCATATCCGTGTATTCATCAACTTATTGTGCAATATATGCTTTAGCCTCGGTAATTATTTATTCTTAGCATCAAGTGGCCTAACTATTGGACAAAACATCAAAAACCTATTTGTTGTGTGAGGGTATTTGTCTTGCAATGTGGTCTCACCACCGTGATTTTGTCTTGCAAATTATCAAATTTACGATGTTTTGCAAACTCCGTTGGCCTTCACCATTGTTAGAGAATAAAATAATCATATCTTGGGACTTCACTTAGCACCTTAAGCTTTTGGGTTGAAATAGTTTTTTTGACATGGTGACAGAGCCTTGCTAACCTAACGGTTAAGAGTTGAATCCTATCACCCCCACTTTTTCTTTTAATTAATTAAGCACAAGATAGTGTGATCTTGTACAAGTTTGAAAGCCAAAGGGCTTTCACTTGAGGGGTGTATTAGAGAATAATATAAATCATATTTTAGGGTCTCATCTAAAAATTTAAACTTTTGAGTTGAAATGGTTCTTTGACAACCATTAACATAAGTTTGTCCACTTATTAGCGTCACAGACCATATGCCTCATTTTTGTGATGCATAATTATTTTGAAACATATGTACAATGAATAAAACCTTGTAATGAACAATACTTTGTCTGACACCTTGCTTGCTCTCTGTAAACTTGAAGACGGTGGATTGAACGTAATGTTTATCTACTATCACTAGTTTTATTATGTAGTTTCCTCTCTAGAATTTACATATCAATACATTTTTCTTTTTGGGGAATTGACCCACCCTTTCCTTCATTCATAAATCTCAATTTTTTCCCTGTGCTGATTGGCATGCTTTACATAAAAACTAGTTCTACAATCAGTTGTTGCACATGTTCTCCCTAAATGTATTTTCAATGACATGATCGGATGAAACCAGTGAAAGGAGAAGGCTAGTGTAATTCATGAGTGATTTTCTTTTTAACAAGTCTAGAGTTCTAGTGGAAGAATTGAAGTCTGCTTTTAGCATGTGAGGATTTGGTCCCTGCATGTTCTATTTTTTTCTCCCTTTTTCTTACACCTTCTATGTTGTGTCTGTAATTAAAAATCCATATGAAATAAATCATTCATGGATGGATGCAATTCCAGTGAGATTGTCTTCACATAATTTTTCAAAATCCTTGGCATAAAACTGTTTAATGTACTTTGTCAAAGTGTAAAAGCACTGATCCTTCCATTGATAGGTCTTCTTGTGATTGGCAGATACTTTTAGATTTGCACTATTACAAGTTGGTTTTTAAGACCAGTTGGTTTCATTCTTCGTACTATGGCTTTGGATATTCTTACACTTTCAGCATTATCATATGCAGTTAATTTTGGATGTTACAAGTGACATGGCAGCAGTAGAAGTCAGAGGAGGACCATGGTTTAACACTTGGAAAGGCAAGACATCTATGCCAGAGCTTGTTAGCCGTGCTGTCGGAGCTCCCAGTGATTTGGATGAAATTTTCAGATTTGCTCCACTGTTCAAGCCCCCTGGTTTGTAACCACCAGGCCAGTCCTTTCCTTGCAAAAAAGGATTAAACTTCAAACTTTGTAGCAGTAGAGTAAGCAAAATCGCATAGTGCTGTTTGAATGAGGATCCATTCTGCCCCAAAAATACAGAGTTGATGTTTCTGTAACCCTGTAAGCTGCATAATTAGTTTTTTTTTTTTTAATTTTTTTTTTTTTAAGCTTGGGCAACCTTAGTGAAAGGGAACTGAGGGTTGGCCTTAGTCTGACTTCATCCATTCTGAGGCATTTTGCATTAGCAACTTGTTTTTATCAGAACGCTAGTGCAGGCTTACTTACCAACTTTGCCTTTTATTCGGCATCTTATGCAAGCTTTGTGGTCATTTATTGCCTAATTTCTGTTTAGTCATCTAGAAATTTTCTGGTTATAGTTTACAGACATTTGCTGCAATCGGAATATAGCCGTGATTTGCCTTTAAAACTGTAAGCAAAATGTTGATGTTTTAGGTTGGAGCTAAAACTCTAATATAACACCAGCAACAAAACCAAAAAAAAAAAAAAAAAAAAAAAAACCTTAAATTTCTCGGAAGTGCGCTCGTTGTCCATATCTGTTTAAGATCTTAGGTAGTATAAAATAAACGGAAACAATAACTAACAGTTATCCAGAGAGCATATTATAAGAGATTATCTTTGTCTTCTAATCCTTTTCTTTTTAATCCTTATTTTTTATTTTCAAGTCGATTTTATTAACATAGCGGGACAATAAGAAATAATATATTTTTTCAAGAAAATATTTTTATATAAATTATTTTCCAAAAACAAGTTCTATTACAATAAATTCTCTCAGTTGAATCAGTCCTTCTCTCTTGGACTAGGCCTAGTTTATGATATCGGCTATTTATGGATTCCATACACGACTGAAGGATAAACAAAAAGCAATAGCAATATATCTCTGCATATAATAAAAATTTGTCCAAACAGAAAAATTGAAGGAGAAAAGATAGTCCGTCCTACCTCATCATAATCAAATTATTTTAGCTGCTATTCCAGCAGACGATCCTCCTTTTTATCCTCAGTAGGTCCGTAAGCCCAACAGCATAGAAGAAAATACACAAAATTGATTATACTCAAGACAGTGATCAGCCAGTAATAATCATCTAACCGGCCCTTGTTAAGATTACTTGACAACCAGCTTTCTTGCCCTCCTTTGGATGTAACTCTATCCACAACGTCCACCAAACCACTCCCTATCAAATCAGCCACGGCGGTTCCGAAAGTGTAAAGAGCCACCGCAATGCTAGACATGCTCTTAGGAAACTGAGAGTAGTAGAATTCTATCTGTCCGATTGAGTTAAACGCTTCAGCCAATCCAAACAGGATAATTGGTGGCAAAAGCCAGGCTACTGACATGTTCACCACACCATCTGGTTGGTCTTCTAGTCCTTCCTCAATGGCAGTTCTTCTTCTTATGGTCTCTACTACTGCTGACATTGCCCTCGCTGCAATTGGAAGTAGCAAACCAATTCCCATCCTAACTTTAGGAGTAAGCCCGCCGCGTGGCTTGCCGGTGAATCTTGCTAGTAATGGCAGCAGAATTCGGTCGTAGAAGATTAGCCAGATTGTGAGAGTGAGAACCAGAAACACATTGAGAGATCCCGCTGGAATCTCAAAAATAAAGATTTGCCTGTCCATGGTGTTTGCTTGGAGGGTGGCAAATGAGTTTTGGTTCAAGTTGATTTGCATCATGATGCCTGTAGACCAAATGGGGATGACCCTCAGAAGAGCTTTCAGCGATTCTACCTGATCAACTGTACATAGACGCCATGGATTTGAAGCTGACCCATCAGGATTTACATCTCTATCAGGGTCTGTTACTATACAAGCTCGGTTTAGACACCTGCAGAGAGTGTTGAGGAATGTTGACGAATTTATCATCTATTGTTACTTAAAGAGAAATGATATGGATTAGGATAGACAAGAATCCGACCAAAACTTGGAATCATCACTGTGGTAATACTGGCACTGTACCTTAAATTATCAGTGGGGACATGGAACTCAGAGTCATCACTGTGGTAATACTGTTCAGTGCTGCTGTGAGACAGCCTGAGCTTCCTGTTCCTGAATGCTGCAACTACAACTTGAACAAACCCAGTAAATAAGCTCGTGGAGGCCTTTGTTTTGACGTACAGGGAAGAACCCACCAAAAACATTAGAGCAGAGAAGAACATGAGAATTGCAGGAACCGCAAACCCGACTTTCCAACCAAGGTGATCTTGGATGTAGACAATAGCTGTAAACGCTATAATTGTTGATAATCCTACTGCAGCATAATACCAATTAAAGAAACTCTGCAAGACACTCTCATTGTTGGGGTTCTCTTTGTTGTCTAATTGGTCTGCACCGAAGGCGATAGAGCAAGGCCTAATGCAACCGGCTCCGAGGGATACGAGGCCGAAAGAGGAGAATAAAACAGCTAGTTGGCCTGTAGTAGCTGATCTGCAGACGTCGGTGAATCGGTCGCAAGGTGGAGGGCTTAGTTGTGGGATCATGGCAGTTAACCAAAGAAGAATCATCCCCTGCATGAACAGAGCAGGTTAAGAGATCAAGAATTGAAACCCCTATTTTCCCCAGAAACTTGGAAACAAGGCAAACATAGAATCAGTGAATATGATAGCAGGAAATGACTCACAAGAAGGCTGCAGAGTGATCCCAAAGAGATGACCAGATACCGACCCATGAATGAATCGGAGATGAAGGCTCCGAAAATGGACAATCCATTAGACATAGCAGACCACAAGAAGAGAATGGTTGACCCACTTGCAGCCTCCAATCGATAATTTTTCATCAAGTAGAAGATCATATTTGGCATCAGCCCATAGCTAGCCACCCTCTCAAATGCCTCATTAACTATGAATACAGAGAACAAGAAAACAAAGAACCCAACATGATTCAACAGAAAAGAAAGAACAGAACAAGAAATAAATTTAACTGTAGACTCTGGAAATTACCTATGATGAAAGGCATGGTCCTTGAGCCACCCTTTCTGGGGTCCTTGTCCTTGGCGATGAGAACCACCTTCTCCTCTGCTACTGAATTTTCCATTCTTTCTTCTTCTCTAACAGTGTTATAATACTATATAGTATCTTAGAAAATGGAAAGAATTACACACAATTTACACTATCTATAAATACAATGTTTGGAATAAGTTCCACAATAGAACTGGATTCCAAAGCCAGAAACTTGGTCCTAATGAAGTGATCAATTCTCCACAAATCATATCATTTGCGCCTAAAAATTAATGGTTTTCAAAAGAATAAGAATAGAACTAAATTCTTAAACTTGAAGTGTGCAAACAAAATTAAGCAAAAGTAGATTTAACTGAAAGAATACCTAAACAAACTGCTGCTTTTCTGAAAAGTAAACATAGAGGGGGAGAGAACTGTTCATGGTGCAGTGGACTTCTGAAAATGATAAAGAGGAAGGTCTATAAGGAAGTCCATACATCTGAAAAAATTATAAATAAAAGAATCATTAATTAATCTTACCCCATAATAATTAATATACTAACGATTATTTTCAACTACCAGCCAACCATATATAGTTGCTTGCATCGTTTTGATGCTATTTTTTGGTCCTAGTTGAAAGGGCATCCCTTTTTGCATAGTCACATATGATTTTGATTTTTAAAATGAATACAAAAGAGCAGGTGCTCTCAGCAATGAGATCATTTTTTGCGTGGATTGCTCTCATTCTTTGTGTCAAGTCCAGCCCTACCCCGATAATTAAACCATTGCACGGGACGAAAAAGAATTAAATGAGACAATTACTAGTCAGCCCTTTTGCATATATATTTTTTTTCCATGAAAGAATTTTCAATTGTCAAGGATCCAGATTGAGTCAAAAGAGGTGGATACGATAGAAACAATGAAAAGGGTTTGGTCTTTTTGGTAAAACTCGGAGGCTTGTCCTGTTGTGGTGGCGTAAGACTTGGTTTGCTTTATTTTGGCTCTCGAACGCTGAACTCTGTATGGAATGGAAGGCATGTACCTCTATTGTATTACATATAATATTTCATTAGTGGTGAACCATAATATTGTTTTTTTTTTTAAAAAAAAACAAGGGATATTGTGTGTGTATATAATTTAAACATTTGAATTTCGTATTCTTACTTGAATAAATAATTATTAGAAAATTTTGAGAAATTACATTCCATGTATATATAGGAAAGTTGCATTGATATACTGTTTTATAAAATTTTATTCATTAAATAAGTTAAACTATCCACTAATTATTCCATGTGTGTGTGTCATCTTGGTCTTTATATTCATAATCTATTTTCTTGTTACTTTCAATATTGAAATTCCTTAATATGCTCGAGTGTAAATTTAAAGTAAAATAATAGAAGAATATAACGCATAATTTTTTAGGTGCAAGATAAATATTTTCTATTAAATAATCCTTAATTTGAATGGTTTACTTAAACTTTTTCAAATCTTCGTACCAAAGTATAAACTTTTATAAATCTTGGAGGTGCCATGCCGAGAGCAATTTCTAGTTCCGACTTCCGTCCAGGTCATCGCTTGTAAATTTTGCATGCTTATCAAGTATGCGAAAGAATGAAAGTAGAAGCAGCTGTTATGATGCCACAATCTATCAATATTATATAATCTGAAACCTTGAGTAGCAAAAACAATAATTATTAAGTTTCGGGGACTGATATAGATGTGATCCATAGTTTAGTATAATATATAGAGTCGGTACGGTGATCTCATTAACCGGTTAGAGAGCGGAGGTCAAGGGAGCTCGGAGGCGAAGCCCCCAAAAGGGTTTACGGAATCTTGAACCAGTTGTTTAAGCTCATAAGACCTCTCTCTTTTTTTTTAATTAACTCTAGTTATCTATACTATAAATAGATATAGTATCTCTTATATTTTAGCCGTCTATTGAAAAACCCTAATAAGAACTTCTAGTACGGTCGTGAAGTAAGCACAATTGCTTGAACTACGTAAATCTTTATATAGTATGATTATTCTTGTCTTTCTACTCTATTTTCTTACTTGATTCGTTTTTGTAACGAGTAGCATCTAAGAATCTAACACAAAAAACTATAAAATATATGAAATTTAACATTAAATTTCCATCAAGTATGTCACTACCCGACATTTAGGAGACTTTCAAAAAAATTATTAAATATTTTATTTTGTTTTTGATTATTAATGGAGGAAGTGAGTTAAACTATGTTTTGGAGTCGTCAATTAACATTAAAGGAACCGAGAAACCTAAAAATGACATTCATTTAGAGATTTTAGAATAAGGAGTTGGTTATGCTTTTAGGAAGATATCGATCACCCAAAAGCATCATTTTCTAGAAAAAGTACCATGTGTGATCTAATTCTAAAAGTATATCACCTAAAAATTTTATTTTTACCAAAATATTTCGAGTCAATTTTCAAGTTTATTACCTAAGTCAAATTATTTTTTTTTATTTTTGTTTGTGGCATCATATTGAATCAATCGTTAGACCCTATTGTCGGGAGTCTTGTCAATTCAATATCGGATCCGACTTAAGTCTCGATATAATCGGCATGTTGAAGAACAACCAAATTAGTAAAGATGATTAATTTGATTCAATTAATAATATTGATTCCTATCGGATAAGAGACTTGTTAAATTAACTTAGCATTTTCTCTATTTTTTTCCTTTTTTCTTTTTTGTTTCTTTTTTTTTTTTGGCATTTTTTTAGAGTTGGATAAAATATATCAAAATCATAGTCCGTTCCTAATAAATAGGAGACTCGTTGGTCGACATCACGTTCGAAGTAAATCCATGCATTATGATAAAATTCGCGGCCTAAATATTTACGAGTTTTCTAATACAAATAAAATTAAACATTATAACAAAACAACACAATAAAATAATTTAAAAAAAGTAAGAAAACAAACTAAATGGTCACTAAAAAAGTGACCTAAATGCCCCTTAGAATGCTACTAGAAATGACCAAACTATCATTTGCATAAAAAATGACCAAAATAATCATGGGGGTAATGCGGAATCGAAACGAGTACAACACGTGCCTAGAAATTTACCAAATTACCCTTGAAGCTCCGAGTCGCTAATGCCACCATTTGCGATAATCGTTTGGTCACCTCCAAGCATGTCGTAGGTCAAGGAAGGATCGCCCGGACCTTCTATCTAATCTAGTGTAGGCGAGTGTGGTTCACGGGAACCGGAAGAAGGAGATTGGTTATCGGCCATCGTTGTTAGTTTCTCCTTTTTCCCCGATCAATATTCCTATCATGATGAGGCACGTAGAGGACACCAATCTGCTAGAAGACCACAAGAAATGTTTCTACAATGGTTATAAGGTCTAATTTGGTTACAATGAGAGATTTGGTGGTGTTGCAAAACGAGTCTTGATTCCGGTTTTGCTTCGATTTGATTTGTTCTAGCGAGTTTTCATCATGATTTCAAATAGGTCAGCTTCTAAAAGGGTGATAAAGGTATCTATAATGGTGGGCATTATTGGTTTCGCTAGGAATAGAAGGTTTGGTCAAGTTCCTAAATAGGTTGGGTCACGACCTTTTCTTCTCTATTCGGCCTCTTTCAATATCTTATTCTTCTCTAACTAGTCGAAAATGATTGATTTGGGGTTAGGCTACTAATTGATGGTGGTGAATGGAGATGATATCAGCTAGAGGGTGGTGGTTTTGTGAGAGAAACGGACGAAGGGTATGGGGTCAACTCCGTAGGTTTGATGGATGATTAAGGGCTTATTTAGAAAGTTTGAGTATTTTTAAGGAAGATGAACAATCCTTTCTATCTTTTGGCTAGTTTTTTTTTTTTTTTTGAGTGGTGGTAAGTAGTTGTGGTTAGATTTTTTTTTTTTTTTGATAGGGAAGATGAATAATAATGGAGGCTAGGGATTTTATAGGTAAGATGAGTAATGGAGGCTAGAATTTTAGGATAGGAGATGAATAATAGAAGCTCTAAAAATGAGGAGAAAGTGTGTTTATATAGAGATTATTTAAGGTTTGAGATAAAATCAACCTTAGTCCTACCTTGGTTTGTTTATGTTAATTTCAATTTATATTTCATTATTTTTCTCCAATTAACTCTTTAATTGAAGTTGTTTAATCCTTATTCTCTTGATTTCTTTCAAGTTTACATTGATTAATTCTTAATCAAGGCTCTTGATTTTTTTTATCTTTTTTTAATTACATCCCTAATTAAATGTCATTTGGTCCTCATTTTTCATACCCTTTTCAATTGGATCCTAAATCACCTTTCTAATTTTTTTCTTTTTTTAATTAAAAAAATACGGAGAAACCTTAGAAATTAAAATCTTAAAAATTTATAAAATGCTTAGAAATTATGGAAAGATAAACTATGCATGCTTTTTTTTTTTTTTGAGTTTTCTTGTTCTTCTTTTTAATTTTTTGTATGAAAATGGGAGGGGGTTCAAAATGGGTTATGACAAAGTAGTTGATGGCTTGTATTGAAAGTACTGCAACATATCACAATGAGGAGTCTTCCTTATATAAACCTACTTCTTCCTAGTCACTTAATCCTACAACTGCGGGATAAGACTCGTGATAATCTCTATCCAAATTAACTCGCTAATTCAACCCTCTTCGACAACTAAGATGATAAATATGTCTTTTTACCCATTACTAGATAAAAAAATATATATTTATTTGATAAAAGTATGCTTCCCCATACTATTTTTGTCTAATCAACACCAATCATGTGTTTATTTAATAAAAGTATGCTTCCCCATACTATTTTTGTCCAATCAACACCAATCACAACGACACATATGCCATCAAAAGAGTGAGTCATCATAAAAAAGAACCTTATTTCTTCAAGTTGGTGTTAAAGACTGTTGGCAACAAAAAAATGGATCATCATACCCTTTTCTCCATACAAATTGACCAAACATTCGCCTATATAAGAATCCTAAGGACCAAGCATTTCAAGTTCCAACTCTGCTCTCTTAATACGTAATACTACTCGTTCATATTTTTCTACACTTATTTGAACACATGATAATCTACTTAGACATCTCCTCTTTTCGTATACTTACTCAACCATAAGAGGGTCCT